ATTTTATAATTGACATCCAAATTCGCATCTCCTAAGTTTAACCCACCTACCAGCCACCTGCACATTTCTGCGCACATGTGTTGCGCAGTGTGCACAGTCACTACACATTACACAATTATGAGAATTAAAATAGTTTTAAACAATCAAGCAAGTCAGGACTGGTATGCAGATTCACAAGTTCTCTCAACATCTTCAAGTACCAACAATCAAGAGCACCTTGTGATCTCAGTAACTCCGCAGATCCATCTTCTGTTTTCCATTTTCAGTTTTCAATTGAAATATAAGTTCCATCTGGGAGACACATGTTGCATCATTATGTTTAAACAATTATTATAATTGAACTTTTGATTTTTCATGTAAACTTCACTTCAAAAGTTGATTCAATTTTTAAAATTGATATAATTTGTATAATGCTACTATCACGGCGCACCAAATCACAGATAACTTGAAAATAACCAAGCAAAAGCCACATTCTTCAGCAAACTATGAGAGCTATCTGATCCATGCTGCGTTGAAATAATTGAAAATCGCCAAAATCAGTCAAAATATGACAATTAAATTAATATAAACTTCACAAAACTCTGATTTGTGAGGCAATGCGCAACAGAAATCAGTTGGTGACATACCAGGGAAATAAGCTAAAATTAGAGCGCTCTATTTATTGCTCCTGCCCCATGTTGAAGAGATACCCCTAAAAGCGTGATCTTTTATCGGCCCTTACGCAGCAAGGCAGTACTTCTCAGACCGGTGGATGGTATCAATAGAAAGAGAATGCGTCAAAGATTAACATGAATTAATCAAAATAACATTAAAATGTTAATTAAGCGTGGAAATTAGTCCCAAACATAAGCTATTTATTGCTCCTACCTCGGCGACGGCGCTCCCCGCAGTCAGCGGAGAAGCTAAAATAAAAGCCACCATCCTTCTCCGTAAGTCAATTTTAGAGCGGCCGAGTGGACCGGTGCGGGACCACCAAACTGAGATAAGACGTGGCTAGCAATTGCAAATCGCCATAGAAATCAATATCTTAAGACGTACAATATGGGATGATAACTCTGAAACCGGAGTGAAAGCATGAGTAGATTGCAAGAAACGAAATGCATAGATTGGTTGAATTGTGTACAATAGGCACAGCTCAATAGATGAAGCCATTTCTATGATATTGACATTTGACATAATCCTTCCTCTCCTCACCTCAACCTATGACCTAAGTGTAAGTGCATTGGCAGTTGCCGGCATAGTTTTTGAGCGCGAGTGTAATTCGCCATCGGACCGCAATGCATGTTGCTAAATGCTAGGCTGCTGCAATTACATCCAACATACGAATACTACCTTCATTTGAGACGCTTGTTTTTTAGGCGGTCTTTGACGTACAAGGGGGCATACCTGTCGACAACTTGAGTTTCTCCGAATTCCAAAAACTCCCAAAATTTCAATTCCTTATGCACTGTTGTAGGTACAGCTATGTTCACAAGTTTTCGTTTCCTCCTGTTCTAAAAAGGATGATATTTGTCGATTTCGTGCGTCGCTGATAGGAGGGTGCGTTTAATAATTAGGCCCAACGCTTTCTGCATCCGCGAGTACCTTCAAAAGGGAACAACAGTTTCCATTTATTACACTATGGGACATGTGGCAAAATGACCACTGGAACACGCATGAAACGGAGCTCATATTCCTAAAAATGTCTACAATCACTTATTTTCTGACACTATTAGCAAATACCATCTCAAGTTCGGTGGTTGACAGACAGCCAATGTAGATCTGGGGAGACTGAGTGATGCCAATTCACGACTTAACTGATAATGAGGGCCGAGGGGAGAGAAACATGCAACATGCACAACTGACAACTTGACAAGTGACAAAACACTACCACTATTGCGCAGTGCACAACAAATTACAGCAGCCAGCCCAAAAAATGCTTTTGGTGGCTAATTGCAAAACAAGTCACTAATAAATGTCTTAGTTGCAGCTGAACACTGCACAATGATCACACTGTTCACGCATTGAGTGAGATGCCACAGGTGGTTTGAATCACACTTTGGTACAACTGCAAATCTGAAGCGTTGTCATGAGGTTCATGCCTCCATGATCACAGCACTTTGGTTGTGGTTGGCATAACACTTGTAGTCTGCAGAGTTCCACATGAACTGCAGACACCTCATCTGGTGGTCTTCATTTTGCTCAACTTCTTCAGGAGGCAAATGTCGACCACCCAGCGGAAGCATGGTCCTGCAGAAAAGAAAGGTAATGCATAAGGTACAAACATTATCTGCTGAAACAGCCCCTTCTGTTGGTTGTTATTAAACTTTTAACATAACATAACAACATGTATTCCATGTATATTACATTTGTTGAAGTAAAATACTGCCGGCTATTTCAAAACCAGAAAATAAAATTATACTGTGGCATAATTCACATGCTCAGCCATCAGTACAAATAATAAATTAATTTAAAATTTGGCATATTCTATAAAACACATTCATAGAATATTCTACTTCACGTCACAAGGACTCACAATCTTTCTGTTGGATGTTTGATTGACGCATTAACGAAGTTTGTCTTAGGTTTTATTATTGCAAAAAAATTCATATTGCATTATTGTATCAAAATACTGCCAGCAATAACAAAACAAGAACATGAAATGTCAATGAGCAAGCCGCATTTCCTAAAAATGGGTTACTTTGAAAAGAATTTTAGTTTCTTTTAAGGAAAAGGAGGAATGATTATCAGGTAATTATCAGAAAACCACTCAACCAGCAAGTGGCTGGGTGGTTTCACAGCAAACATCAAGCCAAAACATATACTTACATTTATCTAACAATTGAGCCATTTGACTACTACAAGGATATGTGAGCAAAATAAGAATCCAATTATCCAATGTTGACTTCCTTGCAAAGTTTATGCCTTATTTTATGAAAATGTGTCACTAGAATATGATACTTATCATCGAATATTATTTAATTTACGATTTATTTCGATCGAAACCCAAATGGAGTCCCGCGCCATTTTCGTCGACGATGAATATGATCGTGTTTCATGAAGAGATAAGGGGTTTCAATGGTCTTTCAAAGCAATAATTTGATGCAAAACTTGGTAGGAAATAATATAAAGCTGGTTCAAATGGCCACCAACCATTTAAAACACCGAAAATACTCACAACTCCGTCCCGACCACCACGCAGCACCGCGCACGCCACACAACTGGCATAATGCCAAAACTGCTGTCACAGCAGAAATGTTTTTTTCTCGATTGCAATTGTGGAATTATTTATTAAACAGAAGATGATCTTTCCGAAAAAGCGACTGATTTCATACACAGATGCATGGAAAATAAAAAAAAATCCCGGTAAGTTTATTTGTATTGTTTTGTCGATTTTGACATGCTCCTAGTTTGCAGCCATATTTCGATATGTTCTACAGGGAGTTCAGAATTATTTCAGGACCAATCTTTTCCTCGGTCATTTTCCCGTCGATCATGAAATTTTTAGAGCGGAACAATTGGTTTCCAGGCGGTCCGAGCGGTTTTCGTGAGAAGGGTGCAAAAATCGGCGTCATTTTTAGAGCCTCGACACCAGCTCAACACAGGACCCTATGGGAGACGGTGAAGTAGCGGAAGCAATAAATAGAGCGCTCTAATTTTAGCTTATTTCCCTGGTGTGTCACCGACTGAAATGCGAGGGAATTTGGTAGTAATCTGGTAGCAATTATGAAGGATTTCCCCTGTAGCTGATAAAAATCACAAGAAACAATTTTTTTTTAACGCAGAGGAAATCCTTCATTATGAGTTGCAAGGACCATTTGATAGGCCCATTTTAGTCAAATATAGGCCGATTTTTTCGATTTCAACCCCATTTATCGTAATGAGACGAATCCATTGGCTTAGTGGTACGTCTTTTGAACACATGTAGGCCTTAGATTTCTCCTTAGCCCGCCTGAAACACACCATGCTTTGCATGCATTTCTATGGGTGCAGGAAAATTCATGCGCCGTGATGACGTCACGGTAAAGGAATTCTGAAGCTCGTGAACGGGGGCTGACTGTACCCGCCAGGTAAATTATTGGGGGGTCCGGACCCCCGCGACCCCCCCCCCCCCGTGGCGGAGCCCTGCTACCTTGATGGATTAATTGCTGTTGGACAACTGTAAGGTCATATGACGTCATCAGAGGTCACCATTTTTTGCTAATAACTCCTTAAAGAAAAGAGATACAGCCGCGTGAATGGTCTCATTGTGTTTAGATCGTGAAGTCGCATCTAATGATATACATGATTGCGTTGAGGTCACGTGACCTGAGGTTAAGCTTTGCCGTTGACCTTGAAAGGTCAACACATGTATGTTTCGATGCCGATTGACGAGAGGATCACGGTGGTGCTATTAGTTTTGTCCTAGCTTGATTATTTCAATCGTTTTTCGTGAAAAACTGTTTACCTTTAGCGCCGCTTTTTTACCTTTTTATCCGTGACGTCATTTTTGCCCTGACCTGAAAATGACATCAGTAAAAATTGTAGACCTTGTCCGTCTGTATCCCATCCCATTTACCGCTCGTCCCCAGCTTGTTTCGTTCTCGAGGTATCAGGGGGGGGGGGGTAGGTATCCGCCCCCCGTCTCGTCCGTGCGAAGTTGGCGCGGGATGCGGATCCCCGTCGGTGCGCGAGTTTAACCATGATATTTCGGACCAAAAGACTATCACGCCACTCAAAGCAAAACTCCGGGACGTCCGGAACCGGAAACCCATTGACGCGGCACGAATGCGACGATGGCTCCTAAATCGACACCTATGCGGCATAAACAAATACATAAGCATCCTTATTTCAGATCCTGTCTGGATCCTGACGTGAAATCCTGCTTTATCATTTAGCGTTGAAAAATGTTACACTCTTTTTTAAAAGTACTTATGGTGATTGCTTTCTTTTTCAGCCTAGTATTTTGCTCTGTGCACCGGCACACCCACTGAAAATCCAATTTTAGAACAAGGAGCTAACATTACTTGTTTTCCCCACAGGCAAACGCGATGAATAAATATAAGGAGGAATCTGATGGGTCAGTGTCATCGGAGGACTCGGACTACGATCCCGACGAAACGGAGGTCCCAGGTGAGTGAACTGCGGCAGGCGACCTACCGGCGCCCGCAATCGGTTCTGCGACACCTGAGCGAGCGTCCTTTAACCCGCGCCCCGCTGGGCTATTCAGCCATACGCGCCCTGCTGGGGGGGGGGGGCAGATTCTGCCCCCCTGTCTAACTTCCGAACCGATGGTCGTAGAAAGACGGGGAAAACGGCAATCGAAAGCTCTCAACAAGGCGGATCTTAAGAGCCCATTTTTTTTGCTTAAGTAGGTCAGAGGTCAGGTCAAGGTCAGGTCAAGGGTACAAAATGCAAGTTTCTACAGTATCGGCCTTGCACCGTAGTTGCCGAAGAATGGACTGAGACTGATTGCCCAAAACGTGTTCTTAGACTACCAAGACCATATTCGTTGCATACAATGTCATACAAAGGTCAAGGTCAAGGTCAGGTCAGGTCAGGTCAGGTCACCAAAAACAAAATATAGAAAAGGGCATGTGCGACACATGTTTTATGGGTCATTTTACTCATATAATTCAATAGGCATACTCAATAAGTGATATGGACCACCTATGGATGAATTTCAGGTCGAGGTCAGGTCAAGGTCAGGTCAAGTGAGGTCAAATTTTGAAGTTGGTTGTTAAGGCCTAAAAAGGTGTCTATCTGATGCAGTTTTTCACGGCGAATCGAATGGCGAATCTATTTTTGTTTTCGTACGAGGTCTAGAACTTCCAAAAAAATCATTTTTCAAAATTTTTGTGTGTCGTGACGTCATAAAATTTTGAATAACTCCCACATTTTTGAACCGATTCATCTCAAAATTGGTATGTAGGTGCACATAGACCACTTCTCTGACATATATTCCGGTTTTTTTGATACACTCAAAATTTTGGATTTTAAAATTATTTTCCCAAAAAAGTCAGTTTTTTGAAAACATTTGGGCCAAAATCCAAAATTTTCAAAAAAAGGAGATAGCCATTTGATAGACAAAGTAGAATCACGTATAACCTTTTTTGTTACGTCTTGATTCCTTTAAAAATGAAGATGTTAGCGGCGTTTGAAATTTTGCCGTTTTTGAGGCGAAAATGGCGAACATGACGTCACTAAAACGTCAATATCTCAAAAATTTTCCGACGGATTTCGCTCAAATTTTCAGGGAACGTGTCAAATTGATGTATAATAAGGTACTGAAAGTTTGACGTCACTGGCGTAACGCGTTTAGAAGTTATTGGCGAAAAACGGGAGGGGGGGGGGCAGATTCTGCCCCCCCCCCAGCGGGGCGCGGGTTAAACGAGCGACATTTGAGCGAAACATTTTTAGCGATTATCAAATTAACCCGCGCCCCACTGGGGGTGGGGGGTGCTATTCATAGCCCCCCTCCCGTTTTTCTGCAATAGGGTAGTGTGGGGTAATTTGAACATATTTTTACGTCTTCTCCGTTGTACCAAATTCCAGTTCAACCCTGGATGAAGAAAAACTGCTTCAGTAGCGCAAGTGTCACTTGCTTTCACCATGCAAGCCTCATTTTTGGACGAGCCGAGCATACCTTGAATAGCATAGCCTCACTTCTCCACCAAGTCACGGTGTGTTCAAATTGCCCCACCGTGGGGTAATTTGAACATACTGCCTTTACCTGTCATAAAAACGATAGTCTCGCCAGCACCGATGTTGTTTGACCCATAAACAAATAGGCAGAACAATTCTAAACATACCTTCACTTGAAAAATCAACACAACAGCAAAAATAACAGTTGCAGAGTATCAATATCTGCACGCTGCACACCGGTCAGTTGACAGAATTCGCCCCTCTTCAATTAACAGAACGTCATTCATCATTTTTGTTCGATAAAAACTCTCCCAACCGTACTACATCTGTTAAAGTGGTGCCAATCGAAACCTGGACATTTGGAGTTCTGATTTTGTCCAATGTCCAATTCGGAATTGGTTGGACAAAGGTAGCAGACTGGACAACATTGGATGATGGCTTGCTACACTTCAGCGCTTTTTATAAAGTAATCGTGCATAGCATTGATTGGCGAATGGAAAGCTTGTTAAACTCTCAATATAATGAACACTTTTCGGCTGGTAAAATTACATGATAAGCAATATAAATGACGGTTTTGAGTGTTGATAGCTGCATAATTTTTGGACATATTTGGACAAATAGTTGACTTAAACATTTTTGGACGGAAAATCAACAAAAATGCCGGACATTAGACGGATATTAGACGTAAATTTTCTAAAACTGGCATCACTTATCTGCTACTGCCTTGGGTCGAAAATATTGGCAAAAAAAAACTGGGAGCGTTGTTTTTTTCGGAGCTATCCCTGTCTTCATTCAAATTCTCACACTATGTTCAAATACCCCACGCTAAAAGTTATTTTGCCATTTTAAAAAAACAGGGTTCAAAAGCAAATTTCTTGGATTGAAGGCACTGATTAGGTCATTATACAACAAAAGCCGTTGCGTATTAGGCGCTAGCAATGCAAGATTTTGCGCTGCAATGAAGTTGCAATGACGTGCTGTTAGGCGTTTTTCCTTGCGAAATTGATTTTTTACACTGTGCGTCAACATCTTCATTCCCTGAAACTTTAAACCCCGTTCATATGATAGCCCTTTTAGTTGCGATAATTTCCCTCACTGGTCTTATTGTCATGCCACTTATGGATTTTCCGTAATTTTCTGTTATTCACACTATGTTCAAATTACCCCACATGTTCAAATTACCCCACCCTACCCTAACTTCCAAACCGCTTGACGTTTCGACGCCAAACTTTCATAACCTTCGGCTGCATCAATTTGACAAATAGTGTCAAAATATGAACTTCGTAGCTACCATAGGTCGGCCGGAAATGACGTCAGAGTGACGTCATTTCGTCATGTTTGGCCGATTTCCACGCAAAACATTGAACCACGGCAATCGCTCCCAAGAGCTCAGTTTTTAAGCTAGTTAGATCCAATTTCTTTGCATGAAAGGACTCAGAATAGACTTCGCTATCAAACTGCTATCTCGGATTTTCAAAATTTTGAAAATTTCGAAAATTTTGTATAATATTCAAAATTTATATTTTTTATTTTTTCAAAAAGTTTTTGACTTTTCGAAAAAACGGGATATGTGTGATAGAACGCATGCTAATGACTAACTGTAGCAAGTTTTAGCTAAATATCTTCAAAAATGGCCAAGTTATACGCATTATTGCAAGTCGCAGCGAGTCGCAGCTAACAAGCGCCGTGCACCCAGTCGCGGCTCCCAGTTGCCGCGGGACTCGACCTCTCCCGGGGCTAAGCGGCCGGCCGCGGAGGGTGTGGAGCTCAGCGAGAGGGCACTGGCTACAATCCAGACTATGATTGACTGTGCGGTCGCTAAAGTCGCTTCTTTGTACGAGCCGTAAATATAGCACTTGCAGATGCGACTGGAACAAGTAGAGGGAGAACTGATGGATCGCGATGTCGAGATCCGTCGCCTCAGGGAGCAGCTAGAAGCCTGCGACAACGCCTTCGAGCATCTAACCCAGCGGGTTGAAAGCATGGGCGTTAATTGACGACTGTCGTCCCTGATCCTTGCGTGCGATGATTTTCGACGCCGCGACGACCATGAGGACATTGAAGAACGTGTGGTCGAAGTTATCAGAAAACGGCTGCCGAGCATCAAACTGGTCACGGCGGATGTTCAAGTCGCACATCGACTGCCGGCGAAAAATAAAGTGATTGTCAAGTTCTTGAAACGTCGCTTGCGAGATGACATTTATGAGAGCCGCTTTTCGCTGTTCGGCCGCGGGGGCTCGGCGCCTGGTGCATGCCGTGACAGTCTGGCCCCCCTCTACATCACGGAGGACCTCACGCCGACCAGAACCGCTCTGTATCAGGAGTTCCTTCGTGCCAGGCGGCCGGAGAACGGCCAGCTGGTCGCCTCAGTTTTCAGCCGCCGCGGAGTTGTCTGGTGCCGCAGGGAGAGGGGCGGCGGTAACATCAGCGTCCCCGACGAGCAGCACCTGCGGCGCATCCTCGGAGGGGCTCGATTCCCGCCCCCTCCGCCCCCCCCGATCTGGCCTCGGCAGGTCGCGTGCCGGCCGGTCGCTCCGGCGGACCGCGCGCCGGTGGCGGGGGCGCCGTGACCTGGTTGGAGCCGGCGCCGCGCGGGGGCGGGGAGCCTGCCGTGTGTGCGCCGGCGGCGGCTTCGGCTGCTGCGTCTGCTCCGGTCGCTTCGACTGCCCCATCTGTTCCGGCGGCCGCGGTCGCTCCGGCGGCTCCTTCTGATCTGGCGGCCGCGGTCGCTCCGGCTGCTGCCCTGTCCCCGCCCGCGTCTGGTGCGGTGCAGTCGTCCGCCGCGGTCTCCGCGTCGGGGTCGGCGCGGACCGCTGAGAGCAGGTAGACACTCGGCTACCCTGTCGCGTCGGTGGATCTATGTGAAACTCGGTAAGCCCAATGAATTGCGTCAGGTCTCGCTGACGTCGCGATCGTAGACCGGTCGTTGTTGCCAGTTGCGTGAGGTATACATAGAGTTCCGCCTTGCTTCGTTATCCTTTTTAACCGTGTGGTGTGTTGAATGGTTTTCTTAATAGAGTTAAGATGCGTAATGTTTCGTGTACCTACCAAGTTTTTTTTCTTTTGAGTGGTCCAAGGTAAAAAGCTGTAGTACAGCGGCAGGTTTTGGTCCCGTATCGAGCGGTTCGGGTTGCAGGTCTTTGCTAGCGGCTGTTAAGTGAGAGGGAGAGCTGACTATGTAGATTACCGCAGCTCGGTCGTACTGACTCCGTCAATATCGTGTATTAGGCAACGTGCGTGTTCCGATCGCACACAGCAGCACCCCGTCGGCTGACCGGCCGCTCGCCGCCCGGGGGAACACTCCGACAGGCGTGGTGTATGGGTGCGCCTGTACAGTTCTGGGCGCCAGATGAGGGGTTTTTGGTTGGGGTTAGTGATGTCAGTTACGGAAAATCGGAATACCGATACCAAACCAAATACCAACCAAAACCGTGGAGAAATACCGAAACCAAACCAACTTGGGAACATGAGGGAAATACCAACTTTTT